GGATCTCGAATCATTCCGAGTGAATCTCTTGTAAGACGCAAATTTGATAAAATAAAAAAAAGTAATTCTAAATATCCGACCCCATCTAACTCAAAAGATCAATGTACTTTAAAAAAATTAATCGTTCACTTAGTCAAAATTTAATACCCGCTTCCGAAGAACTGTTCTGACAATTGAAAAGAAACTAATAAAATCAAATTAAAACTAAAATAAAAAGGGTGGGAGGAAGGAAGCATGATGGGTGAATCTTCCGGAGAAAGTATCAAAAATTTTGGACAGTGGTTGAAGGTGACGACAATAATAAGGTCAAGATTTAAATTAGAGATTGATTAAAATAGTATAATTTTTAAATATTAAGAATTAAATTATTTCATGATAAGAAAAATGTTAAGTATGGTAACTATTATTATATCACATTACCATTTATATTAAATCAATGGTTAAAATTAATCTCTAAAGACTAAAATAAGAAGAAGAAAAATGTGATACTAACATCCAATTATAAAAAGGATCAGGGTTAGTCCAATACATATACTAGATGGACCTTAGTCCAGGGTAACATGTTTAAACGGCATCAGTTTTCATTTTCTTGTACAGGGATTGCTGGAACATCATTCGATGCATCACCATTGGTTAAACCAATTATGCTGCCTCACAATTATTAATATTTGGTTGTAGAGTGCTATATCAGCTGCCTACAACATTGGTCAGTTGGGCAGTAAAATTTTAATGGTAAAAAAGTAATAGTGAGTTGTCTTCCACTTTTTCACTTCACCATCACAACCGTCCATTTAAACTTATACTTACTATCAATTCAAATTTCTTTTCATTCTCCCTCCTTTATCCTTATCCAACCATACAATTTCAAAATAGAGAGATAAAACATTATCATCTTTATCCCATTTTTTACCAAAGAATTAAAACCCCACCAACCCTACTAACTCTCCTTTACCTTTCTCTTTTCCTTTTTCTTTCCTCTCTTCCCGCCGTTACTTCTCAAAATCTTAAAGTTCACATTTTTCTTTAATCCTTTCTTTTTCTTTGCTAGTTGAGTCCTTTTTTCCTACTTCTATTAATGGCTCCAAAGAAGAAGATAACCATGAAGGCTTCTCCTCGCACACCGACTCCACCACCGTAGGCACCGTCAATAGTGTCGCTAGTAGTCTCCAACACGTCTCTGGTATAGTTCCTTGATGTTGAACACTAACATCATTATAATGAGGGGTTTTCTGGTAATAATTTTTGCTATAAAAAGGGTTTCGATCTCTTCTCTGTTGAAGACCCACATGCCTGTGCCTACATCAAAAACACTATAGCGAAGCTGGAATGGGATATTTTTTGTGTTCACCTGAGCGATATAATTCAACAATTGGTTTGGGAATTTTACAGCAACATAACTGTGGAACAATATCTCATAGTTTATGTAAGGGAAAAGATAGTTCATTGGTGGGCATCACTTATTATCTTGCCTGCATTAAAATTTATTGGATCGGCCTGAAAAGGATAATACGATCATTAAAATAAGATATAGTATGGTGATTAATAATGTTAGTTTATCCTAAATAATAAGTAATAATATTTTTTTGCAAAAATGGAATTATTTCATTAATCAACTCAATTTGGGGATAAAAAAGGAGAGATTTTATTTTATATATATATATATATATATATATATATATATATATATATATATATATATATATATATATATAAGAACCAGCTGGTACAAATGAGTTAGGTTTTGGGACGCGCAAACACCGCCCTGGTGATCTGTGTTAGGGCCCCACGTTTTTTATATAGTATACTTTGCATAATTCAATAAATTAAATATGGAAGAAAATGGAAGGAAAACTATCACATCGTCAGAGAATGGCAGCATGCCATTGCAGTTCTACTTTCAAAGCCAAAAGTTTATCACATGTTTAGTGGATTTCACGTTTGATTTTGATAACCACTCGATACAATTATGTTGTATTTTTAGTCGAATTATGTAGAATTATAACAATGTAATATGAAAATATAATTATATATAAAATAATATAACTGTGATAAAAACATCATAAAATATATTAAAAATTACGAATGTAAATATATTAATATCTAAAACACACACACACATATTAACAATATCTTTTATGACTGATATTAGAGATATACGTACATATAAACAGAGTTGGTTCAAGTAATAAGTAGTTTGATATTGTTTAAATAAGGTTACGGATTTGAGTCTGTGTATACGAAAAATCTTCACCATGAGACTCACCCACCAAAACTAAATATGGAACGTAGATCGGTCCAGATTAATTGGGACGTAGCTTTGAAACCAAAAAGGTAACAAAATAATAATAATGTGTATATGTTGCAAATATTATATATTTTAGGGTAATCATTATGTTTAGGACACTTACTATTATTTTTAATATGTTTTGGATGTTTAATCTTTATTTTTTAAAATCATACATTAACCTTATATTTTTGTTTTATTTTGGTCAATCATCGTTTAAATTTTAACACTAACTATTACACATCAATATCATGTTAAATTCTTAAAGATAAATGATCAAAATGAAACTAAAATTAAATATTAAGTATAATTTTAAAAAATAATTAAATAACCAAATAGAATAAAAATAATAATTGAAATATTAAACATGTAGTTGGGATATTATCTCTCATTCTCTCTTATTTTTTTGGTATGAACTAAAAGATGTATATCACAATAGCACTAATGAAATTATAGTAGTAGTTAAAGGAATAATTATTATCACTAGAGTTCTATATTTCGAGCATTAAAAACTGTAACATGGGTGATTAAACATTCATTGTCAAATGCTTGAGAGTATTTAGAACATATATTACTTTGTAACCACCATAGCTTAATAAAAAAGACATAATAATAAAATTACCTCCAAACATTTGCACCAACGCTTACTTTTTCCTTATCCTTTTTAGAGTATTTTAGCACTGATCGTTTTATTTTGAAGTAAAATATTTTCTTGTTGGATGAAAATTGTTAGTTAACTAATGTCAGGGTTTTATACGAACATGACAAATTCATTTGTGATATCACTTCGACAAAAAATTATTTTTAGAGTAAGGTATAATTATAATTAATTACATATACACTTAAAAAAATATATTTAAAAATATTTTTGATGACACGTCTGTCAAATTAATAGGAGATTAGAGATAATTTTATCATAACGGAAAATAACACAAATAAATGAAGTTTTACTTTTTTTAAAGTTACGAAGTTTTACTTAAACACATTTAAAAGTAATATTTGTTGTAAGAATTAAGTGATTTAAGCTGTTAAATGTATGATTATTATCTTTAAAGATTTTATGTTCGAAATCTTACGATTATAAAATATTTAAGAATTTATTATTAAATAATTAAAACAATTTAAACCGAATACTATTATTTATAATCACTTTAATTAAAAAAAATAATGTTTAATAAGAAGACAAGAATAATGTTTGTTCAAAAGTGGTAGACATGTTGTGAAACCAAGCAATTGTCAAATAATCATTAGTCAAAATGATGTTTTGTATTTTATTAATTAAGAAATTAGTGGTGAAGCAAATAGATAACGTGTTTCAGTTAACATCTTATTCGAAATGGAATAGATGCCATCTTTCCTCTCCTCTTTATTTATTTTTTATTTCTTTCGTATTCATTGGAAACAAGTGGAGAGAAAATCAGTCAATTAAGGGCCGGGCTTTGCCTCTTTTGCCATTGCTTTCACTTAAATATCGGAACTGCCTTTTCTCAACTAAAGTCAATGTTACCAAGCTTTCGACATTATTTTCCATCACTAACTGTCTTATGTAAATTTTAAAATATATACATCGTATTTGTGTTTAATTTTACTGAATTTAAATATAATTTATATAAAATTATTTGACGTAACGTATTCATAAACAGTATCAGATACACTAAGCTCTCGTAGAAAACAAGTGAATCTCATTATTTTAAAAAAAATAGTTAAATTTAATTAATATATTAAAAAACAAATTAATATATATATATATACACTCATTATTTTTAAAAAAAAAATTAAAATTTTGATTCACATCCTCAAATTTATAGATCCGCCGTTAAACATATCGTCATGCTTAAATCTCAATTCATTCATTAGGTAACAAATCTCTCATTTTAAACATTTTTAACATAAAACTAAGATCAAATTTCTAGAAATATAAAACTAATCAAGTCATTTTCAAAATTATATAGTTACAATTAAAAAAAGATAAATATAATTTTTTATAAATTAAAGATTCGCTAAGGAACGATTTGAAAATGTTTATAGAAGTGTTTTGGGTCTAAAATTCCGTTTGAAATGTAAAATCATTATCAAACAACTCATTTTCAACTAAAATTTTAATTTTGAAATATGATTATTGATTCAAACCAATTAAATTGAAAAAATAATACTTTTTCGTTGAAAAAACTCATTTGAAAAAACTCGCTCGGAGAAGCATTCTCAAACTAGGCCTAAACTTATATATAAACAAGCACATCGAATTATAATTAGAAAACAGTCGACTCAAATAATTATATCATTACAAATATAAAATTTTATTATAATTAAATTAGTGTCAAGAGTTGTCTAATCATATATTCAATTATAAAAATGATTAAAAATATAAGCATTAATTATTTTAAAATGATTAATTTAAATTTTATATAATAATTTTATAAACATCTTCATTTATACGAAAAAAAAAACTAACTCACCCCTCTAAAACTACCATATATATTATACTTAATAACATACATTTTTATCAAGTATCTTCATTTTTTAAAAGTAAAAATTTATACATAATCTTTTTCCACCTGAATTATTATTAATTAATCCTGAGTTTTTTTTTATTCAAGATCACTCGTAATGGCATATCTGTAATAATCATCCAAATGAGTGTCATTTTAAAGTAACCATCTTTTATAAAAAGTTTCCAACCAGCTCTTCCGTCTTTAATTTAAAAACTAAGAAACGGAGAGAAAAGAAATAAAAACAAGTCCACCAAACAGAAAGCAAAGAATAAACCAACTCGCATTACAAAGGGGAAGGAATCGAGAAACAAATTCAAAGCCAAACAGAGGAAAATAACATTTTTTTTGGAAATTGCAATGGCAGTAGTTATCAATTCTTGTAAGCTTGTTTTGATCTTCGCTACGGTGATGATGATGATGACCGTCGATGCGATTGGGGACAGCCAAAGCCAGCAGGCGATCCTGGGTTGGATGTCAACCGCCGCCGCCGCCAGATCGGCATGCAAGGGTTCCATAGGCGAATGCTTAGAAGAGGAAGAAGAGTTTGAGGTTGATTCGGAGATCAACCGCCGTATTTTACAAACCACGAGGTACATAAGCTACGGCGCGCTCCAGAGGAACACCGTCCCTTGCTCCCGCCGTGGCGCTTCCTATTACAATTGCCAGCCTAGAGCTCAGGCTAACCCTTACAACCGTGGATGCAGCCGTATCACAAGGTGCAGGAGCTGAGCTTTCTCTTTTTTTGTTTTGAAAAATGAAAACAATTTCCTTTTCAGGTTTTCTTTTACTTTTTTTTCACGGTTTTTATTGGGGTTTGATTGCTATACATTAAGAAAAAAAATGGAGATGCGGAGAGATTGATGATAATCATGTTATTAGTATTTTTTTTTAAAAAATTAACTTTAATGTCTCTGTAAAGAATTATTGTTATTTTTGTATTCTTCTTCCTCACAATATCTCTAGCTTTCATTTTATTTTCCATTTTTAACATTTTGGGTGATTTTCCATTTTTTAAGAAATGTAATTTTTTATTTCCAAACAGAAAATATGTGTTTTTAGGTGTTATTATTATTATTATTATTATTATTAAATTCTCTCACAATTATTTTTTTAAACGAACTAACTATAGACATCAATTCAATAAATAACTTCAACAAAGTTGAAATGAATTGTATGCACAGAAATTGTTGGAAATGTTGCACCTTCAATAAATTTGGTGTATGTTGAAGTTTTGATTGATAACAATGAAGTTAATTATGTAGGCGAAATTTAAATATTTTCCTTTAATCCGAAACGATTTAGAATTCTTTCTTTTATCTTTCTTTAAATTTGAAACGACTAAGATATTATGAGAAAACGAGATAACAAATAAATTTATTTCGAAATTTATCTTACCATCTTAATGAGTTTGTTAAAATTTCAAAGTGGCAAATCTGTATAACAGAAATTTTCGTGAAAGTAATTTTAATTACTGATTTTGTTTAAGAATATTTGATTCTGTCAGATAATAAAATCAAAAATAAATAAGAATTAATTTTATGTTTATTAGAATCTTTGATTTCGTATTTGAAATTAATTGAAATTTTAATTATGTCGTTTAATAGAATTATTTAATGTATATAGAAATCGTTGGAAAACAACAAGTTACTGATTTGCTTCAGAAATTTAGTTCATTACTAAATTCTATTAATAGAATAAATCAAAATTTAATTTTGATTTATTATTAAAATTATTATTAATTCTAGTTTTGTTTGTTAAATAAAATCGTGATTGTGAGCCACGATGTGAAACTTGTAAAACTCTATGAATGAAATTTCAAGATGTCATAACATAAGATGTTATTTTATTGGTATAATGCAATAAAATAACTTTAATGTTTGACAGTAGTGCCAAATTTATCTGAATTGTTTTTTTTTTTGGAATATTTGACCCCACAACATTTCATTTTGAGTAAAAAACAACCCTCATAGGATAGAAACCGTTAGTCAACTAACGATCAAAGTCTAGTGCTAACATGGCAAGATGACATAACATTACATGATGACATGACAGTACCACATATACAAAGGTGATGATGTGTCATATGTTACATCAGTAAAAATATTTTTTTCTTAAAATAATTACATATATTTTTTAATAATTGTCGACCAATACAATGATGACATGTGTCATCATCTCATTGGGGATAAATTAAATATGAAATTACAAAACTTATAATATTGGGGTATCAAACCCTGTTTGTTAGAGTTAAAGCCCTTGCACGTTACCATCAGACTAAATCTAAAATTTAGTCTTTTCTTACAAGATTTAATATTTATCCTATACATGGTCTCTCACACACATTTCATCAAATACTTCTTATTCGCTATACCATTACAAACGAAAGGGCTCTTTTATTCAATATTAAGGAGCAAAAATATCTCTTTAAAGAGCAAAAATATCTCTTTAAAGATCAGTTTATCAAATGCACTTCATATTTGTTTAGTTTTCTGTGTCACTATCTCTTTCATATTTTTTCTTTTAGTTTTCCTTTTATATATATTTCAGATTTCCAGAGCTATCTAAGGTTCAATGTTCTTCTTCTCTTCACACACATATCAAATTAAATAAGTATATATATATATATATATATATATATAATAAATTAAATAAAATTCTTTGCTTTATCACTCATCTGAATTTTCATCCACGTAACTTTTTTATCGGTGTAGGATGTTTAATCGTGTCCACTTGGGCTAATCTAAATTGAGATTTTTTCATTCTTTTCCACCTCGTGCATGTTTAGGACCAAATTTTGTGCTTTGATGTTGATTTTTCCCGTTTTCGTTTTAGATGACCAAATAATGTTTTCTTTATTTGATTGTTCAAAGCTTGTTTATGGGTTATCTTAAGCTTTTTGATGGACTTTCGATGTTGATTTGATGAAAATTTAAACATTTGAATTTGAATGGTTTAGTTATACGTTTCCTCACGTGCTGATTTAAAGAGAAATAACTTTCATATATAACATTTAATTCCCAAATTGATCGTGAATTTTCTATTGATATTTCTGCTTCTTAATATTGAAGAAACGAACCCTTTTGTACTTGATGAACAAAGCTTTCAAAGATAGTATAGTGTAGAAGAAGTGTTTGATGAAATGTGTGTGAGAAATAATATATGGGATAAAAATTAAACCTTGCAAGAGAATACTAAATTTCAGACTTGGTATGGTGGTAATGCGCAAAGGCTTTAACCCTAACACCTAGGTTCAATACCCCAATATTACAAGTTTTGCAATTTCATATTTAATTTGCCCCCAATGAGATGATGACACAGGTCATCATTGCATTGGTTGATAATTATTAAAAAATATATGTAATTATTTTAAGAAAAAAAAATTTTGTTGGCATATGTCACATCATCACCTTTGTATATGTGGCACTACCATGTCAACATGTAATGTTATGTCATCTTGCCATGTTAGCATCAGACTTTGATCGTCAGTTGACTAACAGTTTCGATCCGATGAAGGTTGTTTTTGACCCAAAATGAAACGTTGTGGGGTCAAATATTCCAAAGAAAAATAATACGGGTAAATTTGACACTACTGTCAAATGTTAAGGTTATTTTATTGCATTATACCTATTTTATTTGGTCATGGTGAATTTGACCAAATGTGAGATGATCTTTCTATTATTATAAAGGATGAGGTAAACGTAGTTATCGGATCTTGGAAGTATTATGACTTCCTATGTTGGAAATACATCTTGAATGTATTATCAGATACACAATATAAGGTGTACAATTAAACCATAAATACAAAATTAAAGATGTTGATACTAATAAATTATTAGTGACCAAGTTCTTAAACTTCATAATAATGGCATAGATTAGGGAGAATAAATGCTTTATTATCTCTATTGATGATAGCAAAAGTATTGCTATATGTATTTGCTAAAAGAGCAAAACGAAGTTATAGAAAAAATTTATTTTCTATAAACATGAAGTTGAAAACCAACTTAATAAATAGATTAATATGGTAAGAAGTGTGCACAATATGATATTACTCATGAAGTAACATCACTATATTCTCCTAAAGTAAATGGAGTAGCAAAGCAGAAGAATTGAACAATGAATGAAATGCTAAGAAGTTCTGAGTTGTCACAAAATATGTAGGGAGAGAGAAGTTGTTCTGTCAACTAATTACCTTTTAAATAATGCCCCCAGAAAAATGACAAGACACCATATGAGTTATGAAAACGTTGAAAACATATGTCATACAAATACTTGAAAATGCGGGGGTATCTTGAGAAGTTAATTGTCATATCACCAAAACAAAAGAAAATAAATCCTAAACAATGGATTGTATTTTGTTTGACTATGCTATTCTTAGAAGGACATAATGATGCTAGTTGGAATTTGATATTCAATATATCAACGACACAAGTGAATTTGTTTCACACTAGAAAGAAAATTTGTGTCATGAAAATCCTTAAGAAAATGATTATAACCAAATTCATAGTGAAATTTAAGTTTGAAGCTCTAGATAAGTATGGAGAATAAGCTTAATAGCTTTGGAATTTCTTGAAGAATATTCTTGAATGGCTGAAAAATGTGCCCACAATATGTTTTTATTATGACTATCAAGTATAATGGTAAGTCGAGACATATGCGTCGTTGACATAATACCATAGACAATTGATCTCAAATTGAGTTATCTCTGTTGATTTTGTAAGATCAAAGGATAACATTACAGATATGCTAACCAAATGGTTAAATCGAGATCAAGTTGAGAAAACATCAAAAGGAATGTGACTAATGCACATGAAATTTGAAGGCGTTATGTGAAGGAAAACCCTACCTTGAAAATTGGAGTGTAACCCCCTAGACCTAGCCTATGCGTTACGACTAGGTCTAACATATTATATTAAAAATTCTTAAAACATTTTCCAAAACGTTATTGGGTAATTTAAAATTATATTACAAATAATATCTATAAAAATATAATAAATAACGATAAAAACCAAACTCGTAAATATAAAACTATAACTGACTAAGTAAAATAAAAACATGCCATAATTTTGTATCACGGTAAATCGAATATCAGTAGCAAAAATAGTAAATATCATTAAATAAGTACTTCAAAATAAAGGAACAAGTCACCGAAACGAAGTCAATTTGAAAGATAAAAACATTACAATTAGATGAACTACAAGAAATGCGTCGATCCTCCAACTGCCTTGTTCGGTGTGCCTATCTAAAGGTATCAGAAATAGAGCAAAAATAGTTTGCAAAGTGAGCTAGGGTTCAGTTTGTCCCAACAGTGCAAATAAATCATAATGGTGAAATAATCAAATAATAATTCAGTAAAATATCATAAAAAATCATAATAAAGTTTTAGGTTTTAAAACTCGTAGTTTACCATCCTCCCGTACACCACATGCAATTCCCCATAACTGTATCTGTAGAGCTTACCTTATACCCATTGGGTATAAGGAGCCAACCTAATGGAGCATCTTGGGGGCCTAAGAGCCTACCCAAGGGTCACCTTAGGTCCGTAAGGAATTACCAGCTTGATCAGAGATGAACCTCCACACTCTAGTATCCTACCCAAATCAATATCTGAAAAAATAGTTCACATAATAAGCAGTAAATTCTATGATCCATAATCGGCATAATCATATTTCTGGTGAAAACAAATAATCAAATAACATATGTCATTCAACCATAGTCCATAATCCATCAACCAGTAAATCATAAATATCGGTGAAACTCATTTCAAAACAAATAAAACAATCATGTAGCACATAGGGAACACACATCGCAAAATGGAATCAGACAGCAAAT